TAACCCGCCCCAGCGCCCTGCCTTCTCTGAGAGACACTGAGTAGTCTGTCTTCTTGGACACATCAGGCAGTAATGCCCGTCTGTACCACCCCTAACAGCTCAGTATTCACTGTATCCTTTTAAAAAGAGAATGGACTCATAACAGATCTCCAAATCTCCAACAGATCCGTTCTAACAGAAGCAGCCTGGGCCCGAGGGCCGGAATGTCCCGCCGACCTCGCAGCCTGTCACGCTGTCCAAATGACTTGAATATTTCAGCGAAGGCCTCTCGGCCCGCTGTCCATCACATCACACCCCACACCTGCAGCAACGCACCTGGGAGCAGCCTGCCGCTGTGGGGAACATGTGCCCCCAGGGGCCGCGGCCCTAACCCGCACCTGCGCCTGGACTCACTGGGGAAGGGTCTTTGCAGGTGAGCAAGTAGGATGAGGCCATTGGGGTGGGCCCAGATCCGATGACTGCACCCTTAGAGAAAGGGGGCATTTGGACACAACCACAGACACAGGGACAGAGAGACACCACTTGCCTGCTGGTTAAGCCCCACCCAGGCCGTGGGATCCTATTACTGCCGTCCTGGGACGTGAAGACACTTCTTTTAGGCCGTTTGCCTGCAAAGCTCAATGTGGTGCCAGCATCAATCGTCACTCCCTCGACTCAAGCAATAAAGGTGTGTGAGCTCTGCTCTGGGGTCAGCACTCCGCACAGACCAGTGTCCCACCAGTCATTCTGGCGGGAGAGAAACGGATTGGTCCTTCCGACTTCGGTGACACGGCCAGGGTGGGAAGGAACACGTGAAAACCAAGCCGTCTGAGGCTGAGGACACGCCCACCAGACAAAACGACAGTGGTCGCTAGTCAACCACAGCTCAGCGGCCATGACAACCATGCTGGGTTTCCAATAGCAACAGTACCCATCGCTGTGTAGGTTTCCTATAGTAACAGTGTCTACCTCCATGCCCATGTGGCTGTCCTCTCCCTCCCACCTTTCTGGATCTTCTAAATGCCCACAGCGAGCACATGATACATGCACAATGGAACAATAACCGTCATTTGGAAGAAACACTAGTAATTCTACTGTAAAATTCAATCTAACGTAACTTACACATCCTAACTGTGCACAATGCATTCTTTCTTGGGAGCTATTCAACCCCAACAAGGGTCTCTAGAGTGTTCAAAGCACTTTCCACCTGGAGAGGAACTAAGCAAATGGCCGTGAGGGTGGACCCCTCTTCTAGGTAGGAGGCTGGGCACCATCACTCGGGGCATTTACTCTTTTAGGGACATTTCATTCACTCGGTGCCTTTAAGCTGGCAAAGACCAAGTCTCCCCCATGGGCCAAGCACAGGCCAGAGTGTCCAGACCCTGCCCTCCAACGGGCTCGTTTGACAAGGCCAGGAGGACTGGTGAGGAACCTTTGTCAGCTGGGTGCTGAGGTCATCAAGATGATCGGGGTGTTCTGTGGGAGCCAGCGCGCTTGCCATGGAAAGACTGCCGTCCCTGCTAGAAAACGAATCCCGAACCTGCACTTCCCCAGCCTTGGTCTGCCAATCTGTAGAATGGGAATAACCAGGCTTCCCCAACCACCCGTGGCAAAGGAACAGGGTTCTTTCCCCAGCCTTAGGCCAATACCCCGATAGCATGTAATAAAATCGAATTACTAGGAAAAGTTGTTGCGGCCAAAGGCAAACTGAGAGGGGGGGGGTGAAAGGATTGAGAAAAGACAGACAAGAGAATGAAGCTGGGTCGCGGTGGGACGCTGCCCCCTGATGAGGAGACAGCGCCAGCCCCCACAAGCCGTGTCTTTATTTTATAGCAGATGTCACGAGGCAAAGTAGGGGCGTGGTCACGTTGTTTACAGCATTCTCGTGAGTCTCAACCTCACTCAACTACATGCACCCGAACTATAGCACAAGTCACGTGGGGCCACGTGTTTGGACCATAGGTTCTTAATTGTGCTGGGAGGGCCCTGCCTTCCAGCTGGGGCTTGCACGTGGCAATGAGAGGACCCTGTCCTTCCATTAGTCCGAGGCTTGAACCTGGCCCAAACACTGTAACTGCGCCCCACAAAAGTAAGTTAGGAAAACAGACATTCGAGCCTTGATTTTTTTCAGTTAAACAGACACAATGGACTCGTTCGAATGCTTACGGAAGTTTCCAAAAGCTTGCTCTCAATTCTGTACTTATCTTGTCACAGGGCAGCAGGGGTCTGTGGCCCTCAGTGTGGCCTCGAGGCAGGACACAGTAAGCC